TTAATATCTATTCTGAAGTTCTCTGATCAGGCAGAGGATCAATATATATCCACCTTTGTAAAGAAATGATAGTTAAATAGAATATGTAGTGTTTTTATTCTTCATTTTAAAGATAAGCATAAAAGGGAAGTGATCTGAATACAGTTGAAACATTTCTAAAACCAGTTCAGAACTTGTCTTTACACAAATTCTTGCATTTTGGAAAGGAGAATAATGGACACAGGTAAGCTGCCCCTGTTAAATGTACTTACCATTTAAAAACAGATTAGGATTTGACAACTAGAAAAGATAGAAACTGCTATGGTCTGATGATCCTCACCTCAAGTGATGATGGTAGTAGGAGGTGGGATCTTTGGGAGGTGAGATTAGGTCCTGTGGGTGGAGCCCTCATGAATGGGATTCATGCCTTAACAAAAGAGGTCCAAGAGAGACCCCTCACCCTTTCCACATGTGAAGACACAGCAGGAAGGCATGCTCTATGAGCCAGAAAGGAGGCTCTTACTAGATAAGGAATCTACCTTGACCTCAAATATCCCAGCCTTCAGAATTTGAGTATATATTTCTGTTGTTTATAAGCTACCCAGTTTATGGTATTTTGTTATAGCAGCCAGACCAAGGGGACTAAGAAAGAAACTATTAGGTCAAAGTCCTTCATCTTATAAAGAAGAAAAATGAGGCTTTGGGTCACAAGGCTATGAAATGACAGAAAGACTAGAACCTTGGTATTATGTTGCTTTTCTATTATACTACTATTCAAGAAAACAAAATTGTGATAAATTTCTTAAAATTCGGAGATGCTAAATGATTTTTCTTCTTCCATGTATTCATTTTTTCAGAGGACATGAATCCTATTAGTATATTTCTTTGGCTGATAAGTACTCATCAAGCTGCCCATTTACTCATTTATTCTGCATGCCTGATTTTTTTCCCCAGAGGTCATTAAAAAAATGTTTTAAGCATTCTTAAACAGCTTTCTTACTCTGAAAGTTAAAGCAGAATACACGTGTTTATTACCAAAGCAAAGGCTATGCTCACCACCCCACCATTGTTAGTGAGAATTTGGAATCTTGGCTGACCTCTTACCGAGGTAAAATCCACCCTTGGTGGAGCAGCTGTGACTGTGAAAGAAGCTACAAATAACATGCTGGGAATTCAGCAGGCACTGTTATTATATCCTGTTTATACTGTCATTTTTCCTATCAGTAGGATATTATTTATACAGACCCCACCCATGAACTTCTTGTTTATCTTATTATAGAAATCCTCTGAATCTATAAAAAGAAACTTCTGTATCTGTTTTGGGAACAAGTACATGTGTTATAATTTTGCACCTCATTACACTTTTTTATTTAGCATTTTCTTTTGTTATGCACCACTTGTTCTCATTTTATTTCAAGGTTGACTTATTTCACATATTAGAGCTGAACTTAACTGACTTTAAGAGAATCTGTTATAGGACAAGATTCTGGAACACCACATCCTACACTTTATTTTGGGGTACATTTCATCAGGTAGATATTCTTCGAAGATGCATTTGACTGATTTGTTTAAAGATAGGAAAATGTGTCTACATACTGATTAGGTACTCCAAGGAGGGAGTCTGAGTAACCAGAAGGCCTCCTTACCAAGCCTCACTCTATCCTGGGTGGACCAATTAAGAGTGCCAGACTTTATTAGGTTCTCACTAAGTCACTTTTCTCTAGCAAAATCTCTTCTCTGTAATGAGAAGCCTTGCCCCTGAGTTTAGTTTGAGGGCTAGACAGGCTGGGTGAAAAATGTAACACAATAATACATGAGAAAAACAGAAATTCAGTAAGTTGACCAATAGGACAATGAACCAATCTGGTTATCAATCATCCTCATTCCCCTGGCCTTATATAAATAACTGAAGTAGATAAAAGAAAACTACAAGTTCCTTAAGGACAAAAAAGCACGCAGCATTTCTTGAGCAAATAAATAATTATTTCTGGGCCAGGCGTGGTGGCTCACGCCTGTAATCCTAGCACTCTGGGAGGCTGAGGCGGGAGGATCACTCACGGTCAGGAGTTTGAAACCAGCCTGAGCAAGAGCGAGACCCCATCCCTACTAAAAATAGAAAGAAATTAATTGGCCAACTAAAATATATAGAAAATATATAGCCGGGTAAGGTGGCGCATGCCTATAGTCCCAGCTACTCGGGAGGCTGAGGCAGGAGGATTGCTTGAGCCCAGGAGATTGAGGTTGCTGTGAGCTAGGCTGATGCCACAGCACTCTAGCCCAGGCAACAAAGTGAGATTCTGTCTCAAAAAAAAAAAAAAAATTTATTTCTGGAGAAAGCACACCACTGAACAAAGTCACATTGGACAATTTTTCATATGTATAGCTTGTGTTAGCACCACTAGTACTTTTTTTCATTACACAGCAGCTCTATAAGGAAGCATGGTAAACATGGAATGTTCGGAGTACATGTACAATGCAAGGAAGTGTGGTAAACATGGAATGTTCAGAGTACATGTACAAGGCTAGACTCTTTGAGGATATGTAATAAAAGGTCATTGATTTTGAAAAACATTATTCCAAAATACATAATTGAAATGAGTATTAAATCTTAGAGTGGTGAACTAAGTGTAATTAATTTAAGGAAAAAAGAGATGTGTATGGGCTAAAGTGGTCAAAGAAGTTAGAATGAGGATGACAACCGAGATCTTGCTAAGCAGAAATTGATAAGGCTGAGACGAGGAGGTGAAAGGCATCCTAGGCACAACCAACAATTTGGAAGCATCCAAGTGACCAGAATTCTGGAAATGGTAAGTAGTAGAATTCAGTTGGGAGTATACTAAATAGAAGATGGCAATAAAAAAGGAGACTGGAGACAGATTATGAGGAATTACATTTTTTAGACAAAGGAGAACCATCAAAGATTTCTGATCAAGGGAAGATGAACCCAACCCAAGCTTTTTGAGTAGAAATGAAAAGCAGGAAGAACAAGTTGGGGTGAGGCTAAAATGGAGGAAAATTTTAACACTATCAAATCCCATAATTAAAGCAGCAAAAGGAAGGTCCATGTGATACAACAGATAATAAATATATAAATATATTTTCAACTCTTGCTTTCATAAACCAGGAGATAGCATCATGGTGACTATTACTGAGTGAGGCAATGCAGATCCATTGAAGCTAATGTCAAGAAAGTTTACCAGTCTCCTAGAATCATACTTCTCAAATCAAAATCACCTGGGCTTCTGGTTAAACTATAAATTCTGTTCCAGCAGGTTTAGGGTGGTACTCAGTATTTTTACAAGTCTAAGGAGCTCCCAGGTAAAGCCAATACTGCTGTTCTATAGATTGTATTTTGAGTAGCCAGATGTGAAAATATATCTTTCAGTTTCCCTTTTCAAAAAGGCAATACTATATTTGATAGTTACCCATTATGGTACATCTAATGCTTTTATGCCTAAGAAATGCTTTTTAAAGTTATTTTATTATAATTTGCATCAATGTTAGATAGGGTTCAAAGCTACTATTTTAAAAATTCAAGATGATTCAAGATTCAGTGTATTCAACATACTTAGAAATATTTTCACCTGAAAAAGTCAACTTTGTAATGCTATTCTGTAACACTACAATTTTGTTTTTGAGGTGTTTAAACTAGAAGATACTATTGCTTCTAGTCATGGAGGCTGACATATAAGCACTAAAAAGACAACACTCCTTTTTATAGTCCACATCAGTGAGTTTGAATAAAACCTGCTTAACTTGCCCTTAACACTGCCTTAAGCACTATAACTTAGTCCTCAAAGATAAAGGATAATAATATATTTTAAATATCTTATTGAAAAATACCTAAAGACTATAACAATTAAATCCACACACAGTCCTTCAGTATAAGACTTCTACACAGAAGGACATGTCTTCAATTAAAGTCTTTTACCATGAATAGAAGTGTCATTTATAAAAATATATTACGAGTGTAATATATCACACACACATAAATACTGGCCGACCTTAGATATTTGGGATGAAATGTAAGAGTTCTAAAATCTGAGGTTTCATTTTTAACCAAATTAATGATCAGTAACCACCTTTTAGGTAAATTAATTTCAATATGTATCTCTGACTAGAGAACAGAAACAATTTCTTAAAATTGGAAGGTACTACTGAAGATCAGATCCAAGTATTTCATTGTAGAAGAAAACTTAAGCACAGAGGCTGAAAAGCCCAAGGTCATATAGCTTGCTAGTGGCTGGTAGTGTTACTAAAAGCTAGGGGAAATTAACTTTTATACCCATCAGTGTACAAAGTATAACAATGTAGCAACTACAATGTAGGTGAAAGAGTTTCTGGTTTCTCTAACCACTAAGGCACAGTTAATTTTTTAAGGGTTTTATAAATTATCGAGACCCAAGAAAGAAAGACCACATACTAACAAAGACATGCCACTCCCAAATTTAAGAACTTCATAAAAAATGCAATCTGAATAGAGAATGACACATATACACCAGATACTGGGGATGAGGCTTGGGTGCAGGTGGAGAATGGGATGGTATATAAAGAACAAAGAGAAGACAATGGTACCTCTTATCTTCTCAGGAATGTTTTGAGGAAAGCTTTTACATACAGAAAAGTGGTTAAAAAAACCTTAATTGGCAAAATCAGGGGTTATATTTGGAGGACTGCAAAGCTTTTAAAATAAGAAATGCAGATAGTTGTTGGATGTGCATGTGTCAGAAGCTCTGTTACAATTAAAGGAAAACTAGAGAAACCCTTTATAGCCATAAAATAGGGAATTATGTGCTTATTACAAATGCTATAAAATTTACTAGCACAAGTAAAAAAGAAAAAAATCACTGGAGAAGTTCTGTGATATCGCAGACAATGGGTTTTAAATCACAGGCATACACTATTATGCCTAAATTGACAGATCTGCACTGCAATGCAGTAATGCAAGCAATATTCTAACATCTGCACCAGAAGGCAGAGACTAGACATGATTCCAGAATAAAGGGCTCTTCAGCTCTTACCTGTTACCTGTGCAACAACTGCTTGGGAAATCCTCCGATTGGCAAGAAAGGCTTTGATTTCCTCTTTTATCACACTGCTGTCCCTCCTAACAAAAACAGAAGACAAGACCAACAATGTATGTTGAAGGTAGAAATCCTCATCTTTGCTCAAAGAAAGGTGAAGCAGAGAGGTGGGGAGAACACAGAAAGAAAGGACACAAAAATAAAAGGTAAACAGACCAAACTTGTGTGAAAATATGAAATTACAACAAACCAAGAAACACCAAATATTCAGGTCCTAAAACATCACACCATCAGACAGACGCTTTGGTGAAGACCACAGCAGATATAAATCTCATACCAGAGGATGGTTAATCGCATGCTCTGTATAATTCACATTAGGAACAAGGCTGTCATATGGTATACACAAAGTTTCATTACTGGGGAATGAATGTATCTTACACAGACAGAAATCCTAGAAAAATAAAAAGCAACAACAACAAAAATCAGTTGTGAGTAGACCGTGGCTTTGCATGTTACCTATTGCAATTACATAAATACTGTTCATTTAAAAAACCTTTAAAATGGTTAAGGGAATAGAAATCATTATCATTCTCACAACTGTAAAAATATTAGCCATTTTCAGACAGAATTTGCCCCTTAACTTGTCTTCTCTTTCCTGTATAAACCAAAACGGTGGGATGTGTCAAATGTAAAATTTTAATATTAAAAAGGCATTTATTGATTTCCTGTTACATAGAATACCTAACACTAAATACTAAACTGTATTCTGTGTCCTTGGGATTACATTACAGATATTATCATTCTTCCACTAATATGCCTTTTACAAATTTTTACTTATTTAAAAATTAAACAAATTCTTAAAAGACCTGACATTCAGGAGAATGACAATGAGTGGCAAGACTTCAGTTTTCCAACAAGAACAAGGAGAATACTTAAATATCATACTTAAACCCTTAAAACTGATCAATTTCTCTTTGAATGCTTTATCTTCAAATGGATTACACAAATAAAGCATTGATTTTTGTTCAAGCTCAAAAGTAACACAGAATAGTGGTAACATTATCTCACACAGAGGTCAGCAAATTATGGCCTATGGACTAACTCTGGACTGTCACCTGTGTTTATACAACCTATGAGCTAAGAATTGTTTTCACAGATGGACATCTGCAATCAATTTGATGAGAGGGAATGATAATGCTGACCATGAATTAAGCAAAATATTATTTATTCCCCTCCAAAATTTCATTCTTCTCATTAGTAGGCCTATATTTTAAAATATTATACTCAATTATTATTATTCTAGATTGAATTTTATCAATAAAAATTTGTGGCTGTTTGTTTCTTCTCCTATTTATAAGTATCTATATTGCATCCTCAAATTTGCCTTTTGGACACAAAGTCTAAAATGTTTACTATCTACTAGAGTAGATAGTACTTGTAAAAGTACTTGTAAAAGTACCATCTACTTTTACAAAAAAAGTTTGCTGACCCTAATCTAAGACAAAGGGATCACAAAGTCTTTACAAACAGTCTTGTGAAAGAACTACAAATTCTTTATGTGGGTTCACATCTCTCTGTAGATTATTTGGAGAAACTAAAGTATCCTACTCAAAAAGAATCAATTGTGAATTAAATTAGATCAGGTAGTTTAGCCCCTTAATGAGGGGTTATACATTCTGTTGGTGGATTCTATGCTCTCTTTTGAGAATTCCAGAAAAGAATAGAGAGGTGACGGTGGTGACAGTTTCCAACCTGCAGCTCTACAAGTATATTCCTGATCTGTCAGTTGGTAATCCAAATAAAAAAAGATTCCCAAAGGAAGAAAATAAAAAATCAGCTGCCTAATGCAACATTTAAAATTTCTCATATTGATCTCAATTTTGATGTAGATACGGGCTAGACTCCTCCTAAAATGCTTGTCTATATTTGAAATAATTATCTGAAAATATGCATTCTCATTTTATTTCAAAATTGTGTATATGAAGGAGAAAGGCACAAATAAATATATTTTGAAGTCAAAATAATTGCTGATTAAAATACAGGTAATATAGAACAGCTCTCAAACATACATTAATAATTGGTGAGGAAGAGATAACTTCAGCAGTATCTATCTATCTATTTATTTATTTATTTAGAGGCAGAGTCTCATTTGCCTGGGCTAGCATAGCTAGCACAGCTCCCTGCAACTTCAAACTCCTGGGCTCAAGTGATCCTCTTGCCTCAGCCTCCCAAGCAGCCTGTGGGCCACCATGCCTGGCTAATTTTTTTATTTTTTGTAGAGACAGGGGTCTCACTATGTTGCTCAGGCTGGTCTTGAACTCCTAGTCTTCAAGAGATCCTCCTGCCTCAGCCTCCCAAAGTGCTAGGATTACAGGCATGACCCACCACGCCTGGCCAGCAGTATCTATCTCAATTGCCTTATGTAAACAAAACAACCACATCATTTGGTTTCTCATACTACAAAATTAATCTAAATATTTTAAAGTATTAATTTCAATGTATAGAATGATCTAGGAAAATGAAACTTAAGGAAACTTTAAGGAACATTTATTCAAATTAAATTAAAAAACATGCTTTTGTGGGGAAAAATGACTAAGTGGTATTTTCTTGATTAATGATTTAAATTGAAATTTAAATCCAATTTATTTAAAATCAAATTCATCTAGAGTAGACACTAAATCATATAGAAGACATAATGCTCAAATTATTCCAATAGGAATATCCAGTTTGTAAATTATTCACAGCCTTGCAGCATGACATCATCGAGGACTGAACTAGACAGAAGAAACCCAGAAGTCTGCAAAACCACAGCAATTCACTCACCCTCTCATAGACTACATTTTTAGGTATCTTACAAGTTTCTAAGTACCAATAACGAGTTTAAATTGAAAAACCTGAACATCAAAAACTCTTTACTGCTTTACCAGAGAGAAGATTTTTCAAAATAAAAACATAAGTCTTAAAAGATAAAGGTGTGCGTGGGCATATCATTTAATAAAGCTGGATCCTGGTTTTATCATCTGGTAAAATGAGAACATTAAATAACCCCTTCATCACATGGCTTTTAAAATTTTTCTCTAAGCAATGAAATTAACTATTAAATGCATATACATATGTGTGTAATATATAAAATCAAAAATTCTTAAATGTAAAAATTTTCTGAAATTGTAAAAGTGCTACATAAATGCTGAGTATTATTTTATAAAACCTAAGAAATGATCCCAAGGAAAGAAGAAACAAATGATCTTTCTACAGCCATATAAGACTGAAGTAAACATCTGTACCAGGTACTTTAAGGCACCATGGAAAGAGTTTTATAAGGTCAATTTAGACACAAACAGTGACGTGTCATTTAGTTGGTTTTACTAGGTATTTTCAAAACAGTAATAGCATTCAACTTTCATTGTGTCCAGTTCTCTTATGTATTTCAAAAAGTTCCATTCTACTGGGTGAGCTTTGTTCTTCAGGCTTTCACATATCCCCTTCATGCTCTCCTCATTCAGCCTTCTTTAATGACCTGCCTCTCCTATTGTCCTCATTGTACCCTGTGAAATCACCAGTTTGTTAGTGTGGAAACTTCATTTATTCTAAATCTAACCCTCTCATCTTGTCGTCCTCCTCATTTCCTCTCTTCTTCTGCAATTTGACATCCTCCTTAAAATACTTCATGCATTCTTTTTCCCTTCTCTTATAAAATCTCATACTCTTCAAAATTTCCACTCCTCAAATCTTATGGAATTAAAGAGTAGGCTGAGCTTTTCTTTGATTCCACAGCTTCCACGTTAAGCTACCCACTTGATTTGCATCTAACCAACTGAAATCCATTTCATCTCCTCCTACCTTTTTCAAATCCTTGCCATGCTAGATTCATCTGGGTCATTTCCACATCAGGATGAAATTCTTCCTTTCTATCCGCCAGTGCCATTATTTTTGTTACTTGCTAAATTTTCTACTGTTACCTATAGATCTTTCTTAATATCTGGATGAATTCATCAGTAATGCCTCTTATTAGGACACAATTTAACTGTCATCTATTCAGAGAAGTTTTCCCTGATCTTCACAGCCAAAAAGATCTCTTCTTCCAATGGCTAACTTTCACATTTCAACTGTACTACTCACAAGCGAATACATTACATGCTATTGTATATTATAGTTGTTCCTAATCTTATCTCTCCTACTACCCTGCAAAGTCCTTTAGTACAAAGATTGTGCCTTTTTCATTATGGGGTTTGCATGTAATAGAACTTAATTTGTTCAATGAATGAACAAATCTGTAGTTAGAGATAAAAGGTTGTAAAATGGAAAACCTGATCTAGATAACTTATAAAACAGCTTTATATTTTTTTCTCAAATATGTTTAAGCTTCCCAAATCAAACTGGAAAAGAGTTATTTATGGTAATTCAAATGGCATCGCTTCCTTTTCTGGGACAAAAAATATTAATGACAGCATGTTTAAAATGATATGCTTTAAGATCTTCCATATCTTCTTAGTTAATATACACTGACATTCTTTAGGATCCCTTAAAGGTAGTCATCTATCTCAAAGACTTCCAGAGATGAAGCAATACTTACCAAGACAGACTATTTCACCCTTGGAAAAAGACAAATATGTACAAACTTCTTTCACTTTCAGATAAAAACCTACTGCTGTGAATTTCCACCCATGGAAATAAATAAAGCATAACTTTAAATTTTAAAAGATAACTCTAAAAAAAAAGCTACTCTTTATGTATCAATGACATGGTAACTAGTAACTAGATAACATGACCATTTCATTTTACTACCTATAAAACATAAATATCCTACCAACAAAAGTAAATACTGTATTGTTAGACCTATACGTAACCAATTTGGAAGAAAGTCTAAGAATTTTGTACAAAATACTGACATACTCATAAAATTTAGTACATGAGTGGTTAAGAATAACATCTTTAATGTATGGCATTGTTTATTAATTCCGATAAGCTTCATTTAAATTGTTTCATAATATATACATAATAGAACAGATACATATTAGTAGATGTATACTATTATATTAGCAGATGTATACATACACACCTCCCTATATATATTTATATATTCATAGATGCATTTTTAAAAATATTACAGTGCTAAATGGGTTTTCATTCTTGGCCTCAAAGTCCTTCCTAAAATGTTATATTCAACAATTTGTTGAGAATTCACATATTAGTTTGCTTTTCATTTTTTTGTACCCTAGCACAAAAATGCAAACAGTAGCAGTTACTTTCTTTCTCACTCTGTCTTAACAAGTTGTATCATGTACACAGTTACAACCTGATGAAGTTCTATAAAGAAAATCTCCATTATGTACCTTAAAATTATTAGGAGTTAAGTTTGTACACTCAGTGAATTATATGATTTTAAAACTATGTCTTATGCTTGAGTGCCCTGGAGGTTGAGGAATGTGAGCAAGCAAGATGTGAATCACTTATGTACAAAAAGGAGGTAGAAAGGCATTTAGGCACCTATCCTCACCAGTTTCAAACTACTATAATATTGGGCACAGAATACTCAGAAATATCCACTGTTCAAAATATTTCCCTAACATTCCCCAATAAAAATTCATTATGTTAGTAAGTGATTTGAAATAGCAAATATCATGGGGGGCTGCAGAGGAGGGGCAAGCCCATTAAGGCCATTCAAACTTTGTCTTGAGATATACTATCCACCTTTCCTAAAATCATAGACATGAAAAATTTACTTACAAAGGCAACACATACCAGCAACATGTTGGTAATAAAGATATGGGTTACAATTCAGTCTCTGCTACCTAATATTAAATATAAGTTTTCTTGGGCAAATTATTTAACTTTTGTGAATTTCAGTTTCTTTGATCAACCTCACAGCATGCATATAATGATTACAAGTCAGAACATCATTCAGTAAACTTCTGCCTCTGGGCTAAGAAGTATTGTTGTCATCTGCAACCTTGAGAGAGATGAGAGTGGAACACACTGGAGGAAAGCAGGAGTGGAAAAGAGAGCCAGAAGAACCACTGAGAACCCGAGATTATCAGAGGACACCAAAGAAGCAGTGGAAGGGAAGAAGATAAAGTATCCTAATTATGTGACCAGTATATGTAAATTAAATACTAATAACAACATGTAAACCTGTGTGTATTTTACTTGAAATTTGAATGTGTGTAATTATGGGATTTAACTACAAATGTTACCCATTGGTAAACAGGTTTTCTGTTTCTTATGATACAGTTGAATTAAAACATTATGCCAACCTATGACCTAAAAGTCAAGTTTTTAGATCCTTATTAGTCTGGCCAATCTTATAGAGACTTTTGTTAAAAAGAAAGCTTTCTCAAGGCCGGGCGCTGTGGCTCACGCCTGTAATCCTAGCTCTTGGGAGGCCGAGGCGGGCGGATTGCTCAAGGTCAGGAGTTCAAAACCAGCCTGAGCAAGAGCGAGACCCCGTCTCTACTATAAACAGAAAGAAATTAATTGGCCAACTGATATATATATATATAAAAAAAAAATTAGCCGGGCATAGTGGCACATGCCTGTAGTCCCAGCTACTCGGGAGGCTGAGGCAGAAGGATCACTCGAGCCCAGGAGTTTGAGGTTGCTGTGAGCTAGGCTGACGCCACGGCACTCACTGTAGCCTGGACAACAAAGTGAGACTCTGTCTCAAAAAAAAAAAAAGAAAGCTTTCTCATATTGCTTGTTAGTCTTACACACATTTGAAAATGAACTGTTATGTTAAAAGTTTATTAAAACTTATTAACAGCAACATTAACAACAAAAAGCAGGCTAGCATGCTAACAAATTTTATTGTTGCTATCCTCTCTACTCAGAATAATTAAAAGGTAATCTTGTTATATTTAACTTTTATTTGCCCAAATAGTTCTCCGTCTTAATCTTAACATGCATATATATGTTAAATTCAAAAGCAACATCTGAACTTTGGCTACCTGCTTTAACAAGTGAAAATGAATTCAAAGCCAAATTGATCTCTTATATTTTAAAACTTAAAAGTTTTAAAAGCTTATTAACAGTGACTTGTGGCTGCTGTATGAAACTATTCATTATAAGTATACACTGGAATCTAGATACAACAGTCCATTTAGTCCAGAATCCATGTAAATGCAGTTCCACCCTAAAAATAAATTCAGGACAGTTTGTTTAATGGAAATTTCACCATTGTGGTACTGCAGAATGGATCTTCCATGTGGCAATATTCAGTCACCATTGTTCTATCTTGAAGTTCTAAAATCTTTACAAAAATTATAACTCATAATTTTAGGAATTTTTATTTCTGACAAATTACTGCTAAAGTTTCTTTCATTATCTACTATAACAAATTTATCTACAGGTTCTACCCTTCCACAGCAGTAAAAATCTATTGAAAACAATGATTTTATCATTGCTATTACTGAAAACCTCTAAAAACTCAATTCCAACCAAAGTAAACTATTTAGTATGAACTCAAAGTCTTCCAAAACCTGTACCGTCTCCTAATATATTATTCTTTTTTTTTTATTTTTTTTTATTTTTTTTTTTGACAGCAGCCTGTATCTGTATATATTATTCTTATTACTATAGTAAACATCTGTAATCTGTATCAGACTAAACACATGCCTTCACCTTCCTACCTTTACTATTCTCTTAACTTCAAATCAAAGTACTACATTTCAAAACAAGGACTATTCTTCAAGATTTAGGTCAAATTCATCCATTCATTTAACATATTAAGTCATTATCACATACCAAGGAAAGTTCTAGATCCTAGAGGCAAAACAATGGAAAACACATGGTTGTCGCCCTCAAAGTGCCCCACATCCGGTGTGAAGCCTTTCCTAATTACTTCCGCTGAAAATGGACTTCTTTTCTCAGTGTTTAAAACTCTAAGTGCTAATACTTACGTTGTAATAGATAATATGTGTGTGTGTGTGTAGCATCTATTGCTAAAATTAGAACTTTAGCTTCTTAGAGGTAGAAGCCATGTCTATTTTTCCTCTTAAAAAAAGTTTTTATTTAACGCTTCTCAGCCTTTTGGCTAAGATCAAGTGTTAAAAAAGTTTTTATGTAAAAGGTGCTCAAAATTATTTTCTTGATTGGAACATTGGTGGGAAAAGTTAAGACTGTACATATTCTATATCAAGGTAAAATGATCTTATCCCTTAGGAAAAGTACTTACAATCGATTTAAGGATGAGAATGTGTCTGTTAGTCAGAAATTAGCTATTAGAGATATAGAGAGAAGGCTAACTTTTGAAGACAGAATGGATAAGGCTTATCAAGTAGCAAAGAGAAAGGGTTGAACTAGAGAAGAGAAAATTTTAATTAAAAACATAAAATTTGAAATTCTTTTGTCTCCAAAGGAGGGAAGGGGAAACTGCAGTTTTTATAGGTAAATAGGTGAAATACAAGTTATTACTTTAAAACAATTTAAAAACACAGGCATTTTTGAGGACTCTGAGAAAGAAAAGTAACTAACCTCATTAATTCCTCCACTTTATCATCTACATCTAGGTCCTCTTCTGAGGCTTCAAAACTGTATGACCTCTGACCCATGCTGTTTGCATGGTAGCGAGTTGGCGACATCTTTCCATTGGATGTGGACAATCGCTCATTATTCTCTCTCCCATTCTGATTGGTAGTGCAAGGCTGTGGGGAGGTATCATAACTGTTGCTAGGTGATGGGGACATTCCCGAATGCTGGGTCTGCGTTGAAGCTGTAGCCGTAGAGGAAGATGCTGGGACATTGTTGGTACTGTTCCCATATGAACTTCCTCCATAGCTGGACCTTCTTCCAAATTTGTCACTATGCTCTTGATCAAGACGGTCCAAAGTTTCCAAGGCATGGAGAATTTCATGTTTAGTCATTCCAGTACGCCGAAGGCGCTGAAGCAGATCTATCTGCTCTATGGTAAATCTGGGTTCATCTGTATAGTGAGACATGGTTTCCAGCAAACTAAGAAAGAAAATATAAAAAAGTCAGAAGTCTCTTTATTGACAGTCTTACCAAAGAACATATCATTATAGAGAATGCTCAGCTATATTTCTACAACTTTTTAATTGCAAAGAAGAAGATATGTTCCATGCCAGAATGTTTTGGCCACGGCGAATGAATTGGTATAGACACCGAGTTTATTAGCAGGTGGACAAAAGCTATAACATGAAACCCAATTTCATGTGGCAAATATTAGATGTAAAATTTTAGTTATGTTAGTAGTACCAAAACAATAGATTAGGCACATATAGGGCAATAAACCCAGGCTATGTGATAATTCATGAGTGTTTTTTTTCATCTAAAATGTATATATTTCATTAAAGTATTAATAAAAAATTGCTGAAAAAATATTTTGTATTATCTTGATTTACCAAATATCAGCAAAACTGATCTAGGAACTTTATAACTTCATTTAGTGAAAACAAATTAATTGCTAAGCTAAGCCCAAGCACATGCTAATAACCAGCAAAAGTATTTAAGTGGAAAAGCAAGAAAGGTACATAAAAAAACTTATTAAGCACTATTTCATCCAGTACTTAGCAATTTCATGAGTTTTTCATCTCTGTAATGCATTCTCTCTTAATAGCTGCCCTGAGAAATGGATCTTTCGTGGTTATAGCCAAACTGAACTACTCATTTTTCTTAGGAAATCACTTCTACAACATGTCTCCTTTAACTAGCACAAGATGCTACATACAGCACACCAGAAAATGTTTTCTTAGAGTGAATAACAATACTACGTTTAGGAGTTGTCAAATATCATAAAAATTCTCACTACTTGAATTCCTTTCTCATAAAATCTGACTTTCCTATTCAAGACTTTTTAAAGTGGGAATCTCTTCTATTTTAATGTTTATTGTTCTAGTGCCACACATGATGCATCATGGTATGCAGTAGGCTCTCAATAAGTGTTTGCTGATAGAAACAGATGTCATGGGATTTTCTCATCCTTTACAAATAAATGTCTGCTCTGGGCCAGTCCCCCTAAGTTGCTGGAGATGTCATTGCTTCTTCACCTCTCTGTACTAAAAATTTGTTAACAGTCACTTCTAGGCAGGAATTGGATAAGAGTTTCATATAACGTAATCTCACCTAATCCTCACAGCAACCCTCTGTAGTACATATTATTTGTTTTATTCTATTTCATTTTATATTGATGGATTGATTGTAGAGGAAACAAAGGCTCAGAATAGTTTTGTATCTTGCTAAAAGTAGAAAAAAAAATTCAAGCCTAGATCTTATTGACTCCAAACGCATACATCATTCTCCTTTCCAATATTCTGTAGGACTTACTGGAATCATATGATTTGGGACATAGGCTGTTGTATTCCTTTAAGTTTCCAGTTAAGACCATTTAGATAAAACCACTCTAATACTGATGGATTAGGGGTCCTAGTAGTAGTTTTTTACATTTAAAATCTTTGCCCCATCTAGAATTTATATTTACTCAAGTGTAAATGGACTGGGGCTTTAGTTCATCCTAAATGGATAACCTGCTATTCAATGTTTTATTGAATATTATCTCTCTTCTCCTCTGATCTGAAATGCTGCCTATATCATACACAAAATTCCCAATATGAATCTGAATCTATTTTTGGAGTCTCTATTTTATTCTACTGATTGTTTTGTCTTTCAAATCCTTCTAAAAAATAAGCTGGTTTGAGCAGGCATCATGGCTAATGCCCTATAATCCCAGCACCTTGGGAGGCTGAGGCAGGAGGATTGCTTGAGCCCAAGAGTTTGAGGTTGCAGTGAGCTTGGTGATACAACTGCATTCTAGCCCAGGCAACGCAGCATGACCTTGTCTCCCCCCAAAATCAAACCAAACCAAAACAAAAAGAAAAGAAAGCCACCTACAAATAAAAACAAACAAACAAGTAGCTGCCAAATCCCATTGGTAATCCAAATACTTTACCCCTAATATACTGGCTTGGTAAATTCAGGTTTCTATGCCTTATTCTTTTCCCTTAAAAATAAAGTAGACCTGTCCAGTGCTATGAAAATATTTTATAAACCTATCTTATTTTAGATGTGACTTCAGGAACTATTATATGGACAAAAAAAAAAAAAAAAACAACAAAAAAACCCAATCATGATATTTTCCTATCTTATTCATATCAGAGCAGATTCTTCGAATTTCTCCCTATATGGAGCAGCACTCTGTATACAAACATAAAACAAAGGAAATTATTTAATATATGAATTTCACCTATTACTGAAAAGTATTCAACCTAATGTTCCAAAAATCATAAAAGAAGAAACAGTAGGCACCTATTATTTTGTCTTCCTAAAACGCTTCATTGTTTCCAAGAACATGTTCTTGGGGCCACTCAGAATACCCCACCTTCTGGCCAATGGGATGGCCAATGGGGTGGGCACACAAAGAAGGCAAGCCTTACTCTTCTCAAAATTTTCAAGTTAGACTGAAGGAAGATGAACAGTCACTGTAATTGCTCAGTCACAGGAAGATGTCAGTCTGATTAATTCCTTACCACTAGAAGTAGCGAGTTTAGGGGAGAATAAAGTGGACATACCAAGAAATGCAGAGCACAGCAATGGAGAAAGCTCGGCAATGCTCATATTCCTAGGCCCGATACATCCCTGCTCATTTTGCTGTTTTGTTATGTCAGAGAATACACTTCCCTTTATTTTTCACTTTGTTCAAATTAGATCTCTGTGCCCTGCACCTAAAGAGGCTCCAAATGCAAAGGTATAACCTAAAGCAAAAAGATCCACAATTACTAGAATAGGATGTATGATCACTACAGAGCTGAATACTGAAGATACAGTATTTTACTGAGAAAATGCTGAGATTAGAAGCTCTCTTGGACATTGAGAATAATATTTCAATGTGCATTAACATAAACAAAATCATACATTCTGGCATTTCCAAATTTTATTTCTCATAATTCACCTAGTTTAAGCACATAATCATGAAATTATGGCAGTAAATGACCTACAAAGGTCATCTCAGTCCATGATACCAGCAATTCTTTTACAACAGAAAAAGATAACATGTAAGAATTGAATTAATTTTCCTATGCACAATGATTGTTCACAGGATAAGGAACATCTTTCACTTTAAATTACTAATCTGAATGCAGACTCAGGCCAACAATAATTGAAAATGATGTGAGAAGAATTTCAACACTGCAATAACACAGACAATGTTTAAGGCATAAAAGAACAATTAAATTCAGGAATTATGGGTCAGTTCATAAACTGATGTTCTAAGAAAAGACCATACCATGACACTGGAATAATAATGTATTTCATAGTAAATTTTATCATTACTTGAATATGTACCTAAACCCTTCTTGGATAAGGCATGAGGCCCAAAACATACTTTCACAAACTAAATTCCACAAACATGTAGAGCAAAGAAGGTAAAAGCATCCACAAATGATTAACCTTGAATTAACATGGGCAAAAAGAACAATACCACCTTACTTATAAAGCATCAACAATTAATAAGATTTTACTGGATAACAAAGTTTTTTCTTCAGCTCCATTCAGCTTTTTATCTTTTCGTCTAGAATGACTAGGCAAAATAGGTTAATTTTGTTTTGCACATGCAGTGTTTACTATGTAATGATTTAATGCATTCTAGAGTCAATCGTAATATTCATCAGAGAGTGAACTCCCTCTCCCCTGGGCCCCTGAACTTCCCATCCCCTTGGGAATGTTACTTCACACCTTATTGGTCCCCATATGTGAGTTACTGTCCAACTACTGGACTTCAAAATACACATAAACTCAAGTCTGGCAGATACTTTGGGAGCTTAGGCTTTGGCAGGACTACTCTCTGTCAGCTGCTGCTTCAAAGACAGAACTCAGGCTACTACAGGACTCAGAGCTTTAAAGCTTGGCAGGCCAGCACTGGCACCGCCCTCTAGCATTGAGGGACAAGCCAGCTTCTCCCAAGGACTGCTCATAGAAAGGTACACTTCAATCTGTAATTGTTCTTTACTTTCCACAGAGGCTTCCTTCCATCCTAAGCCAGCAACTGGACTTTAATCATTTTGGAACACATTATGTGGTTAATGTACCTCATCTATCAAGTGCGTTCCCTGTGATGTTTGCCCACATTATTCTCCCCCTCTTTAAGTATTGCAAACCCAAGAATAAATTCTCTTTGTATGGCAATAAACACTGTGACTTATGAAATTATAGTTTGATCATCTCCTTATTTTCACAATACATGACAAAAACCAAGTAAAAACATTCAAGTTTATAGAGGGAGATAGAAATTAGGTGTGGAATCAGAGAATTGGAGACCATTTACACAAAAACAATTCATTTAACATTTACTGAACACCTACTACTATATGACAGATGCTGTAGAAGGGATGGAGGACACAACAAGGACTAAAATCAGGCAAAAATTCCTAGTTTCCTGAGGCTGGTATTCTAATGGCTAGTAAATAAATGGTTTAAAAAAAAGAAAAGGGAAACTAAGCCCCAAAAAGATGAAATGCCTTCCCAAGCTACTTAGTGGAAACTCAAGCTACAGTTCACATCTTCTGGGCCTATTCCGGAAACCTTACTACATCATAAGAATCAACTGGGGGAGGGCAGGAACTTTAATGAAAAACTTAAATAATAAGAAAAACTGATCTTAATGTCTACTTACTGGATTATAGAACTGTCAACCAAAACAAAAGGAAATTTAAGTGAAACTTAGACTCCACCAAATTTTAGAAAATACTTATGATAAAGGCACTCTCTGCATTAGGCTTTAAAGATGCTCTTAATGAGCTAATAGATACTTTATCTTCTCTAATATCTGAAATTCCCGGAATACTTTTATTCAAAGGCCTATTTAATACGAACTGGTGGTTACAGTTCATATCCTAGCACAAAAAATACTCTCAACATAATACCACCATCTCAATTTGTATTTCTTGCCTGACTCCAAAGAAAGGCTAGCACATTAGCTAAAAGGTTTAACTACATTATCATCCCCAGTAGGTAAAGGAAAATGGCTAAGGTGGTAGGAGTGTGCACATGAAAGGCAACATTAAGGTGATACTTCTGATATTCTGCTGGTCATAAGGAATCTAACACTAGCTCTCTCAAATAGCCATCTATCTCACTAGCTTCCAAGCTTTAAGCAGTTAGAAACATCAAGTAGAGTAATTTTATGTTCAATTGAAAATTAAGGTCAAAATTCGAAGTTAAAAATAGAACTGGTAAAAGAGTAGGTTGATATATTTAAAATTCATTCCTCACCAATGATCATATCACTTGTTCACCTTAATGGCAAATAGGTATATCATTTGATTTGTTTTCTAAAAATTCTTTCAACTCTACAAACTTCTGCTGTTAAACTTGGAACATAATCATAATGACTTCTTAATTTTATTAAAACAATTACAAAGATAAGAATTGAGAAGGACTAGATACTTACACCACTGGAAAGGAACTGAGCATACTTTACATGAGGCGGATCAATATCCTTTCCAGAGATGATCAGCGTTATTTAGCATTCTGTAGAATAAAGATAGAAAATTGAGAAATATGTACATTAGTCAAGTGTTGAATAAAAATTTTAATATCTTAAGGATACTAAGAGTTAAACATTAGCTAATCATGTTTTTAAAAATTATTTTGTAATTTTGAGATAAAACATCTGTTTGAGGCAAAATTTTTAAAAAGTAGAAAAATAGCATTGATAGCTTTCTGAATAATCCACCTGGAAAAAGTAATGAAAATCATACCCCAAAAGTTTAATCTGTTATCAGGAAACACCCAGAGAAAGAGATTTAAACAGATTTAAACATGCAATGGAATATAAATATTACAATGAGATTCAAGATAACTTTTTAATAGTAACATTAGTACATTTATATAGAATCCTATAAATAAGAAACACATCGTAGCATGATTGCAACTAAACATCTTAATTGTGGGGTAAATTCTGGGGTATGGTTCCAAGTACTTATTTTACTGCTAGCATAATCTTGAGTGATTTCATTTCTCTAAGTCTTAATTTCTGCATCTATGAAACAAGGATAACAGATAACTACTCCAAAAAGCTACTAACCAAGTTAAAAAAAAATTTTTTTTTTAATGGGAGTAATGAAGCACTTCACAAACTATCAAGTGGTAGGAGGGGCTATTACTACCAGTTTGAAAAAGAGATGAATACCATGTTGCATTTAGATTACTAAACACAGTATGTAAATAACGAAGTGAGTCTAGTACTTGTATCTTTTGATTTGCATTCTACTACTATAGTCACTATTCAGACATTTTGACCCCTTTCAATTTAGAAATAGATCTTTGCAAAAAAATGTATCTACTATTTAAAGTTTAGGAGCTAAAGAGCATGAAAACTGAAATTTATTAGCAGTTTCAAACCATAATCTACAGAGGCAACTATTTCCATTAACTCTATAAAGTTTAAAAATATTGATACCAAAAACTCACATTAAAATACACATCCAGTATTAAATTATTTTAAGCATGACCAAAGTGTTCAACAATGACTAATGATATATGGGAAACGTACATGGTAGAGTTAGAAACCCTTCACATTTGTCTATCCTAAATTGTAGCATTAATGAAGCTACTGTTATAATTTTATTACTGACTTAAAAAATACCTGTCCTAAAAAAGTAGATGTAAAGTGCAAAAAAAAAAAAAACTACTAAAAATGTTGCTGACTGCATTTCCTAGTCAAAATAATAAGCCACAAAAAATACACTCAGTACCTACTTGCCCCTGGCATAGACACAAGATCCAAATATGACTAAGATTGGTCCCAACAGTATAGGAGTTCAGGAGCTTATTGATGGGGTGGGGCATTACACACACACACACACACACACACACACACACACAAACACATATCCCTCTCTAATAAAAAGTACAATGTGATTAAGACCAAAAATATAAGGCTTATATCAATAACAATTTAGAAATCAATCTAGGTTACAAAGAACTAGGAATATTTCTTAGAGTGAGATCTGAGCTGTTATCTGAGGACTAGAATAAAACTTCCACCAAATCAAGGTGTAGAGGGAGGTGAGAATCAGTGGAGGAAGGATTCCAGGGAGAGGGAACACTTGAAGAAGACTGTGAGGTATATTTAGGGAATTAGTACACCTATGTTGCTGGCTTTTAACACAGCATGCATGAGGAGCCCACGATCTAGAAGGGCAAAACCTCTTCGGCCTAGGTAGGAAGGTACATGCCTGGCAGAGGATCTTGACCTTTACTCTGTATTTTTTTTAAAGTATTTTTTAAAAAGTTTAAGAACTAAATAATATGTATTAAAATCACACCCATTGGAATGGTTATTATTAAAAAAAATAGAAAATAAACGGTTCGTAAGTTTTGTATTTTGTGCCATTATTAGTAACAAAATGAAATCCTATACCCTTCCTTCAGTATATTCACAATGTAGATGCTACCCGCCACGAGTCACTTGGTTAGTCCTGGCTCTGACACCAGGAACGAAAAGAAATAAAAATTACAGTTAGTGAGCACTTGCATGTGGCAGCACTATGCCCAGAGCTTCACGGGTCATCTGTCTTTATTTCCACACCAGTCCTGTGCAATGATTCTTCCTGTCTCCAGTTGACAGATGAGGAAATGGGCTCATGCTGGTGGAATGATTTCTTCAAGTTTGCAAATCAAGCGCAGATCTGTCTTATACCATTATACTGACTGTATTGCCTCTCCTTGCTCTGTGTCCTTGGGCTAGTCTTTTAACCTCTCTGGGCTGGGGTTTCTTCATTTATTAAATGGGACATTAAAAAATTGATTTCTGGCTGAGTGTGGTTGCTCACAACTATAATCCCAGTATTTTGGGAGGCTAAGGCAGGAGGATCACTTCAGGCCAGGAGTTTGAAATCAGCCTGGGCAACATAATGAGACCTCGTCTTTATAAAAAATTTTAAAAATAAGACAGGTGTGGTGGCACATACCTGTAGTCCCCGCTACTTGGGAGGCTGAGGCAGGAGGATCACTTGAGCCCAAGAATTTGAGGTTATAGTGATGTCACCGCACTCCAGCCTGGGCCACAGAGCAAGACTTGTCTCGTAAAAAAAAAAAATTTTTTTTTTTTACATAAAGTCAGGTTGAACAATGAAGAATCCTATACTGTCAGCACTGTTAACCTTTGAAGAAAAATACAATCAAGAAAATCCATTAGGAATAAAAACCTGTAGATACTGTGTTACCCATAGGTGGCAAGAAAGCTTTTTTTTTTCAGTGACACATCAGGAATTCTCACTAGGTTGTTCAGGCTGCTCAAGTTCCTGGCCTTAAGCAATCCTCCCACCTCAACCTCCCAAGTAGCTGAGATTATAGACACAACCCACCACTTCTGGTTAACAAACCTCTTTTTTCCTTAGCTTTTCTCTTTAATAAAAAAAGGAATAACTATATTAAGTACAGGAAAAAGTGAACGTCAAAGATGTATAATGAACTTCAAAGATGTAAGTTGGCCTCCAATCCCAAACTCCTTTTTCTTTTCTACCCAGACACTATTCACAGTTTTTTACATACCTTTCCTTCCTTATACATTTTTGTACATATGACAGTATCTTTTGGATTAAGCTTCCCTGTCACCGCACCTGGCCAGAAGCCTTTACTCTTTTTTTGTTTTGCAGGCAGAGTATGATACACCGATAAATAATTACCTGAGCAAAAACTTGTGGACCTGCACTTCTGGAAGATCTAATATCTTCCTCCTTATTTTGCACTTCCCTTACCCAAGCAGTTTCTCAATGCTTAATAAAGGAAATAATTATAGAATTGGAGTAAGAGATTTCATTAAGCTAGGATAAGGTAAATCATAAAAACTTATATCATGCTAAAATTGATGTTAACAATCATATTTTCCAATAGCCTCAGTTTACTGATGCAAAAAATTCTGATACTAGACGCCAGAAACCTTCTCAGGTTAGTGCTTATACTAATTGACACAATAAATAAAAGCCAAAATTCTGGACACTTGGAAACTTAAGGTCTATTAAATGCATATCATTTGAAGGTTTTATAAAGAGTATAGAATTGTTATAGATATGCAAATAGAAGCCTTCCATGGCCGACCCTAGACAAGGATTTCCTATAGAGGGAGAAGGCAATAAAATTTGTTAACATATTTTCAGAAATATCATCTTAAGAAAATCTGTCCAGGCCGGGCGTGGTGGCTCACGCCTGTAATCCTAGCACTCTGGGAGGCAGAGGCGGGCGGATTGCTCAAGGGGTCAGGAGTTTCAAAAACCAGGCCTTTGAGAAAAAACCTTCGTTCTTAACTATTAAATAAAAAAAGGGAAAAAAGTAAATTGGCCAACTAATATTACAAATAGAAAAAAATTAGGCCGGCATGGTGGTTGCATGCCTGTTCAGTCCCAGCACGTTAGGGGAGGCTGAAAGGCAGGAGGATCACTTGAGCCCAAAGAGTTTGAGGTTGCTGTGAAGCGGGTTAGGGCTGACAACCACGGCAAACTCACCTTCTAGGCCTGGGCAAACAAAAAGTGAGACTCTGCTCAAAAAAAAAAAAAAAAGAAAAAATTCTTTGTCCAGACCAAGGTGGTGGTTGGGTTCATTTGCCTGTAAATTTCCTAGCACTTTGGAAAGGCCAAGGCAGAGTTATTGCTTGCGAAGGCATGAAGTTCAAGATCACACCTGGCAAAACAATAGTGAGAACCTATCTCGATTAAAAAATATAGAAAAATTAAGGGGCCTGGCATTCATTTGCCACAGGGGCCTTGTTAGCTGGCGGATGGGTGGTGCATTGCGTGTAAGTTTTTTTCCAGGCTTACTTGGGGATGGGCTTGAGGCGAGTAACGAATTTGCTTGCAAGCCCAGGAGTTTGAGAATTGATGTGAAAGCTAGGTTGATGCCACAGACGCATTCCTAGCCTTGGGCAAAAAAACAGAGTAAAGACCTGTCTCAAAAAAACAAAACAAAAAAGAATACAAATAATCATCTTAGGCTAAAAACAGGAAATTAAAAATCAATAGCCTTTTTTACTAGAGTTGATAAACCCCATTTTATTTGATAAGTTTTTTTTATTTTTTGAGACTACGGTCTTTCTTGTCAAACCCAGGCAATGTCCAGACCCAAGTGGCATTGATTTCATAAGCTCACTTTGCATTTAAAAAACTTCCTTGGGGTTAAGGGATCCTCCTGATTAGCCTACCAAGTAGGTAGGATTACAGGTGTGCACCACCACACGTGGCTAATTTTTTTCTTTTTTTGTAGAAACAAGGGCTTGCTATGTTGCTTCAGGTTGTTGGATTAAAAAACCAACAGTTGAAATAGGAAAATTCGCGATTTGAAATCTGGCTTTTTTAATGGTATAACTTCTTGTTTAATATTCAACAGGGTAAAGATTCCTATTAAGGTACAATTTTCAGGCATCTAATTAACTTTATTACTTTCAGCTATTCATTCAAACTAATCTTTGTTTTTTTTTTTTTGAAGACCAGAGGTCTCCCTTTTGTTGGCCCCCAGGCTAGGAACTTTTGGGA